TTTTAAGTAGGTAATTATTTTTTTATTCAGACTTCTCATTCTGAGGCTAATCAAGTTTTAACTGCTAGTTTTCTTATAGTTAATATTTTGATTATTTATTCGCCTTTCCAGAATGTTCCACTGGGACAATTAATTCAAGTGGATGGATTATAATGTCAAGGCCACAATTTCATCCCCTATGAGATTAAGTTGGCATTACTCAGGAAAAACCCTGTTTGATGACTGCTGTACTTTAGATGATTCAAAATTGAAATTTTTTGATTACACATGTCAGGAAAGAAGCGTAATGGTTTAGCTCCAAATTTGATAACTAACAGGAAAAAAAACAAACAAACGTGACTGACTTGTGTAAGACAGTATCATCTTTATATATGAAGAATGATTTTTTTAAGATGTTTATTTTGTCATGTTGTGTTCAATGAGAAAAACTGGCCACCTGAGCCTTTGTGAGTTCTAAAAACAGAGAGGCCTGCTGGACGGCTGCTCAAATACCAGCCCGGGAGACTGGCTGGATTACCTTCATCTTCTATGTCAAAGTCGTGAACTAGAGAAAATGATCTCCCTGGCTCTGTAGTTTCTCTGTTACATCGGCGTATATGTACATGCTCATACCGGGCTATCTAGTCCTCTTTTCCTTGGAAATGGGCCCTGCATAGTGGTTAAGAGCGTGGGCTTCTGGTCTGCTCAGGTTCAAACCCAGCTGCTATGTACCAGCTGTGAGACTGACCAAGTACTTCACCCCTCTCCCTGCTCATCTGTAAAGATGCGCCTCCTACCGTAGAGGGTTGTAAGGACTAAACGGTAATTTACAGCAATAAGGCTTTGGAACAGTATCCAGTTCCACTGGTGAGAAGACTCTTTTGGGGAATGGCCATTATTAACGTTATAAATGGACACATTATACATACCCTACAGTTTGCTGTTTTAGCTTAGAACACTCCCTGCCAGTGCATGGAGGTGTATGCCAGTCACCTTCACCGTGGGGCAAGCAATCTGCGGGTATATACCATTCCTTTGAAAACCTATTCCCCTGTGGGTAGATTTTGATGTTTTGTCGGGTGGATTCAGCTAGTTGACATGTGCATGCAGAATGATATTGCCAGATTGCTTTCCAAAAAGTCAGACTAGTTCACCCACCTGCCAACAGCGCAGGAAT